GTGTCCTCGCTGCTGGTTCTCTCTGGCAGGAGATCGTCTACTACTTCACTGAGCTTGGTCTTCATCCCAGCTACTTCAAACATTTTACCAGTGCTGAGATCGCCAGGCATATCCATTGCCTTATCGCTGCTAAGAAGGTCGCTCAGGCTACCAAGTCTGACTATATCCACTTCGAGATTGAGGAAGCGGATTCGGCTTTCTATCTCACCACTATGGAGCCTGAGAAGATTGCCATCACTGATGCTAAGGTTGCTGAGTATATCAATACTGCTAAGGACTGTGGTTACACTATCACCTTCCTAAAGTCTGAGAAGGCTCCCATGTGTGGAGGTAAGTTCCCTCTCGGCATCTTTGTTGTTGAGAAGCAACAGTTCGAGTCGGGTGTTAAGTTTGAGGATATGATGGAGAAGTCCGACATTCATCTCGTGGCTACCCCGGCGTTCCTTGAGGAGAGATCTGATGAAGTACAGAAGCTCTACCAGGATCTTATCGATGAGACTATGGCTACCCGCAATACTGTTGTTAAGGTGTTCGATGCTCCTGCCAACTTGGTTCAGAAGTCCGGCGCCCAAGTGTTGCAGTTTGCTGCCTTTGATGTTGATCGTACGGGCCGAGCCTACATCTCTGAGATCAACGAATGCTTCCGTTCTCATAACGTCGAACCCAAGAGATTCTACGTGGACTCGTTCGCCAATGGTATCGTCACCTATACTTGCTTCTTCGACCCCACTTTTCAGGGTGAGGCATTGGAAAAGCTCGCGCAGACTCTCCGTTATGTGAGTCATTTTAAGCATAACCCGAGGAAGTCCGGTTTGGTTTGGGAACTTGTGCTCAACAATAAGATCACACCCGAGCATGCTATCTTCCTTATTACTGCTGCCAAGTTCATCTTCTCATTCTTCCCTAAGGAGACTGAGGAGTATCTCGCTTTGGCCGACTATTTCAAGAGTGACCCGTCCAAGAAGAGTGAGTTGGATACTCTCTTCAGAGATACCATGGCTAATGCTATCACTTATGAGAGGATCTATGATGCTCTCACTTCCACTATGAGCTACTCTACCTATGTTCGACGATTT